TTGCTAGGGACTTGCCCGGCACTTGCTCTCTACCTCTATTTGTTATCTTACTTCTATCATTGACAGTCCCTCTAGGTTGTGGGCTGCTTGCCTGTGTTCCTGAGAAGCATCTACGGTACCAGTCTATAGAGTGTGTTTTCTTTAGTGAATTACCGGTATGTTTACCGGTAATAAACTTGCACTGTTTTATGTATATGTTTGATTACATACAGCCTTGTGACAGTTTTCCTGCATGTCATAAGCATTTGAATATAAATTAAAATGTTAAAATCAAATCTGATATTGTTTTACCTTTTATTTGGTGTGTGGAAGGTGTGCGGAAGAGGGGGTAGTCTTATACGGCGAGTATATAACAAACTCTGTATTTTGAGTGGAAATGTTAGGGGGTCGTCTTATACGCCCAGTCGTCTTATACGCCGGCAAATACAGTAGTTTGGGACAGTGGTTAAAGTGTCGGCCAGCAGAATGAAGGGTCACATGTTCGATTCCAGTCAAGGGCTCATGCCCCAGTCAGGGTGTGGGAGGCAACCAATTGATGTGTCTCTCTCACATCGATGTTTCTTTCTCTTTCTCTCCCCCTCCTTTCCACTCACTCTCTAAAAATCAATGGGAAAAATATTCTTGGGTGAGGATTAACAAAATATAAATAAGAAAAATATCAATGCCTCTGTGTTTACCACATCTGAATTACACCTTACCTAGTGGCGTCACTTTCAGTAGCATATGCCCTCTTAAATTTACCCAGGTTTTCCCAATTTTTGTAATCCTACTTAGCAGCAGATTATATGGGCTTATTTTCTTTATTCAAATTGTACTCTCCCTTTAATAACCCAACTCAAATCCTATCTTTTCCACTGAGAAGCTACTCCAATTGCTGTGAGTTATAAGACTCCTCCCTGTCCTAGCTGGTTTGGCTCAGTGAATAGAGCATCGGCCTGCGGACTGAAAGGTCCCGGGTTTGATTCTGGTCAAGGGCATATGCTCAGGTTGCAGGCTTGATCCCCAGTACAGGGTGTGCAGGAGGCAGCCAATCAATAATTCTCTCTCATCATTGATGTTTCTATTTCTCCCTCTCCCTTCCTCTGAAATCAATAAAAATATATTTTTAAAAAATAAATAAATAAAAGAGACTGCTCCCTGGGATTAGTTTATCAATAGTTTTTAAGCTTTGATGGAAGACGAGAGGGATGTCACAGACACCCTCCAAAAGGTAGAGAAAGCATCCATCCATCCATCCATCCATTTATAATTCCAGATTGAAGTTAACCCTCAGCTACTCTTTCTTTTTGATGCCCTGCTAAATGTCTAACTCGGATGATCTTTTCAAAACCATACAAGCTTCTAGGGCAGCGGTTGCCAACCAGTGGTGCAAGGTTCGAGGACCACTGCTGGTCTGTAAGGTCCGAAAGGTTGGCCACCGCTGGTTTAAGGAAACCTTTGGAGCAGCGTTCGCAACTGGTGGCCAGTGAGGTCCGAGGTCCGAAAGGCTGGCAACTGCTGTTCTAGGGCATGGTAGGGATTATCCCCCAGCACCCCATGACTGGCACATCTGGGGAAAGGATGCAAACTCACCATGGCTGATGGGTTGGTCTGCCTCTCACGGTCTCGCCTAATCTCACTCTCGATGGATTCACGAATGGCCAGCTTACAGGCACGTTGACAAATCTCTGTCAGGTCAGCTCCAGAGAAGCCATTAGTCATCTTAGCCAGGAACTCCAAATCCACATCCTAAAAGTAGAGTATCTTAGCATTTATTCTCTCCTCCCATGACACACAAACACCATCTCTGAGCCACCACAGCGCTCCCAATTCTGATCTGTCCCATCTTTCACCACTGTTTTATTCCAATTCTAGATTCTCCTAACACCCATCTTCCATCTTTACAACCCCAATCCCAGAAATCCCAATGAAATCTTGTCTGGAAACCAAATAGCACCCCACACTAGCCTGAGGACTCATAGACATCCCCATGGCCCATGATCTTGCACCTGCCTTGGCAACTGGAGACTTGCGCAGGTTGGCCTTCAGGATGGCAACACGGGACTTCTCATCAGGTAGCGGGATATAGATGAGCTGATCAAGGCGGCCAGGTCGCAGGATGGCAGGATCAATGATGTCAGGCCGGTTGGTCGCGCCAATGATAAAAACGTTCTTTTTTGTGGACATGCCATCCATTTCTGTCAGGATCTGGTTAATAACTCGATCAGCAGCTCCACCACCATCTCCAATGTTACCACCACGGGCCTTGGCAATTGAATCCAGCTCATCAAAGAACAGTACACAGGGGGCAGCTTGGCGGGCCTATGGGAGGGACAGATGGACTCAAGCATTAGTACACTGGTCTCTCAGACCTGAGAAGGAGAATAAAGAGACCTTCACTGTTCCAGCTGAGCTGCCAGGGTGAGATGTTTTTAACTCTCCCAAAGAAACAGCCTCTATTTCTATCTTGCCTTCAAGCAAGTGAATAGATAGCCCAACTGCTTGTAGCTCACCTTGTCAAATATTTCTCTGACATTGGCCTCAGACTCTCCAAACCACATGGTGAGCAGCTCGGGACCCTTGATGGAGATGAAGTTAGCCTGGCATTCATTAGCAATGGCTTTGGCCAGTAAGGTTTTCCCACAGCCAGGAGGCCCGTAGAACAGCACTCCCTTGGAGGGTGTCATGCCAAACTTGAGGAATTTGTCTGGGTGCTCCACAGGATACTAGAAGGAAAAAGAAAGAGGGTTCAGGGACACCTCTACATTTTGAAAGAAACCAAACAGAAGCCTACCCTTACCATCCCCTGGTTTAAGAACCAGTTTCCCTAGCAGGCTCCTTTAGTGCCTCAGACCTGAGAATAGCAGATTCCTGAATTATTTTCTTAAAATTCCTGCAATGAATGTGCCAACATCCCAAGACTAGCCAGTTCAGTTACAAAGTATTGAAGCAATGACTCATCCTGAACCAAGATACCCTACCTGGACCAGTTCCTGAAGCTCACGTTTCACATCCTCCAGGCCCCCGATGTCCTCCCAGGTTACCTGTGGCACCTCCACCACAGTTTCCCGCAATGCTGATGGGTTGCTCTGGCTCAGGGCCCACTACAAAAAAAAAAGAAGTAAAATTGGAAATGAAACTTGCAAGGGAAGGCATGAAAGTGCACATGTGTGGACCCAAGAGGGCAGTGCAGTCCTTACCCGGAAGTCATCCATAGTTACTGCCAGGGAGTTCATGACCTCAGCATCAATGGTTTCATCCTCTAGGTCAATAAGGTCCATCTTTTTGCGGATGGCTTGCAGAGCAGCCTCCGAGCACAAGGCTGCTAGGTCAGCACCCACATGCCCATGAGTCTCATTGGCTACCTGCAGAGAGAAACTCTACTTACTATACTGTCCCTAGTCCCTTCCCCTGATTCCTATTTCTGGGTCCTCCCAATTACTAGAAGACATAGCAGTCCTTTCAGAGGCTAGATTTAAGTATTCAAACCTGGACTTGGGGCCTGGAAATAAAGCTGCCCTAACAATTCTGGTTTGCTCTAATACAATGTCAACCAAGAACATGCCAACTCCAGTTTCCTGGACTCAATCTCAAATCACTTTCTTTTCTCTGCCCCAAAATCAGAATCAGTCTCCTCACATCTTAAGTTTATATTCCTAGACAGTTCCCTTCAACTGCTTGGAAATAGATATCTAAAACTCCTGGTCAGCTCTCATCACTACTCCACCTGTTCCAGGTCCACATCATCTGCCAGCTTCATGTTCTTGGTATGGATCTGAAGAATTTCCAAGCGTCCTGTAGCATCAGGGATTCCAATATCTACCTCCCTGTCAAAGCGACCTGTGGGACAACGCGTGAATTTATACAGGGCTTACTTCTGGTCCAAAGGGAAAAAGGGATAGGCCTAATGTGACCAACCACCCTAGTTTACACCCAGGACTGTTCTGACGTTAGCCCTCAAACTCCCATGTGTCCAACGTCCTGAAAAACCCTTCAGTTTCAGGCATACCAGGATGGCTCAGACAGGGCATGAAGTCAGGGAAAGGACAGCTGGGCCCTTTCACTACAAAGAGCTTCAAGAAATGAGCAGGATTAGATGATTTAGATAAATGACAGATGTGGGATTAAAAAGATTATAAACAAAGCCCGGCTCAGTGGTTGAGCACTGACCTATATGAACCAGGAGGTCATAAGTTCTAGTCAGGGCACATGTTTTGAGCTTGATTCACAGTAGGTGTCCTGCAGAAGGCAGTTGATCAATGATTCTCTCATCATTGATGTTTCTTTCTCTCTCCCTTCCTCTCTGATATCAATAAAAAAACTTTCTAAAAAGGGGAAAAAAAATTAGCCCAGTTATGACCTCCCTATGAGCAAGGACAGAGTTTAAAGAAATTTGGGGTCCTTACCAAATCGCCGTAGGGCTGGGTCAATGCTGTTAGGTCTGTTAGTTGCTGCCATGACGATCACATGTGCTCTCTGCTTAAGGCCATCCATAAGGGTCAACAACTGTGATACAATGCGCCGTTCCACCTCCCCATGGGTCTGTCAGGACAGGAAATCTGGTCAGAAGTGAAGTCAAGACCTTTCAACCCCCCACTAATCCCCTGGGTTAAAGCCTACTTTTTCTCTTTTGGGAGCAATGGCATCCAGCTCATCAATGAAGATAATAGCAGGAGCATTCTTCTCAGCCTCCTCAAAGGCTTTACGAAGGTTGCTCTCAGACTCGCCAGCCAACTTGCTCATGATCTCAGGACCTGAAAGGATTCAGAATAGAGTCAATAACAAACTATATCCTTCCTCATTCCCAAATGAAAGCAGCTATTTTGTTTACTAAGACCAGAGACAGGTCCTGGATGAGAAGATGGTAGATAACCTCTGCCTACTTTTTCACAGACTCTATTAGCCACTATCCCAGGATAACCAAGAGGCCAGACTGGAGAGAAACCAAGGGACCTAGTACACCTGTCTCACAGTTGAGCTGAAAGTGTGAAGATGATAGAAGATGCTCTAGGACCTCTGGCCAGAGCAGAAGCAGCACACCAGTTGGACCTCTAACAGCTAAATAGCATTCTTAAAGATCTAGTTGACCTTCCCCCAAACCCTCTATAATAAATAAATGTTTTCAGCCTGTCTATAATCCTTCTCAAAGAGGGATATATTGGGGGCACAAGAGGAAAATATCTTTCCCTTGTTGCTTACTTGTCTATAATGCATCCCAGCAGAAAAAAACATGCTAAAGTGTACACAAGAAGCCGAAACCGGTTTGGCTCAGTGGATAGAGCGTCGGCCTGCGGACTGAAGGGTCCCAGGTTCGATTCCGGTCAAGGGCATGTACCTGGGTTGCGGGCACATTCCCAGTGGGAGATGTGCAGGAGGCAGCTGATCGATGTTTCTAACTCTCTATCTCTCTCCCTTCCTTTCTGTAAAAAAATCAATAAAATATATTTTTTTAAAAATAAAGTGTACACAAGAGCATGTGTGCAAATGAATGTGTCCATGATTTTATCCAGCTCAGGAGACTAAGTCATGCTAAGCTCAGAATTACGTCCAGCCAAACTCACGGTGAACCAAGTTTCCTACCATTGATCAAAAAGAAGAAGGCCCCCGTCTCATTTGCCACAGCTCGAGCAATCAGAGTCTTCCCGGTCCCAGGAGGTCCATAGAGCAGGATTCCCCGAGGAGGCTGAGGACCAGTACAGAGAATATAATTAGGTTCTGACTCCCACTTTCTCCCAACCCCATCCAGCCTAACATGGCTTAAATAGGGTTTTACTGAGGGTGAGGATCACAGCTCAACCCTGATACCAGTAAAATTGAGTCCTTAGCCATAGCTGCTGGGAAGACAGCCTATTTTAGGCCACACTCACTCCCCTTATCAGCAGGGAAAATACTGACAGAAGGCTGACATCTATAATTATAACTTGCACTAGAAGCCCGGTGCAAGAAAATTCGTGCAGGGGTGGGGGTGTTTCCCTCAGCCCGGCCTGCACCCTCTCCAGACTGGGACTCCTTAGGGGCATCCCTCTCACAATCTGGGATTGCTGGCTCCTAACCACTCACCTGCCTGTCTGATCGCTCCCTAACCGCGCCCCTGCTGGCCAGATCGGCCCCAACTCCCTTCCCTGCCAGCCTGATCGCCCCCTAACTGTTCTCCCCTGCCGGGGTAATCGCCCCCTAACTGTTTGCCCCCCCACCAGCCTGATCTCACCCCGAACTGCTTGCTCCCCCACCGGCTTAATCGCCCCTAACCACCTCTGGCTAGGCTCCCACCACTGTGGCTTTGTCCAGAAGGAAGTCGGACATCCGGAAGATGTCCAGTCAATCTGGTCTAATTAGCATATTACCCTTTTATTAATATAGACTATTAGTATAGATAGGAAATAAAGGGCAGAGAAAACCAAGAAACTAGTGCAATCGAGTCTAAAGATCCTGGCATTAGACAAAAGCAAAAGGCCATTAGTCCAAGAGCTTGACTTTACAAGGGCTAAGGACTAGCTTACTCAAAAGAGTGTTGCCAGAGCCGGACCAGCATGGCTCAGTGGTTGAGTGTGGACCTATGAACTAGGAGGCCACAGTTCGATTCCTAGTCAGGCATATGCCCAGGTTATGGCTCAATCTCCAGTCTGGGGTGTGCAAGGAGTGGCCAATCAATGATTCTCTCTCATTACTAATATTTCTATCTCTCTCTCCCTTCCTCTCTGAGATCAATAAAAATACATTTTCAAGAAAAAGTGTTGCCAGAGACTCAATCACTTCAGTAATCACAACCCTTCAGGATTTATTATGTTAGAATGCTTTTCCTTACCGCCAATCCCAAGTTTTCCTCTTTGAAGCTGTCTTTTCTGTGGCCTCATCCACAGGCAACACATGGGAAGTGCCCACACAGAAGATAGAGTTATTTATACGGAACATACTAGGGGAAGGGGTAATAATTTCATCTTCAGTATATCCCATGACATGGAAATGGTTGGAAAGTTCCATTCTAGACTAGCAGTTCTCAAATGTTTTAGACTCAGAACCCTTAACACACTGCAAATTTCCTTAACTTCTACTTTTATTGGGCAGCACTCTTCTAGACCGGTTAGCAAACTATGGTGAGATTTGTTTTTATAGGGTTCATAAGAATAGCTTTTACATCTATAAAGTTATTTTATATGTAGAATATATATATTAATCACCACCCTAGACTATATCCCTCAGAGTTCCAGATGCTCACCTTCACACCAATTGCCTTAAATAGGGCAGGATGTCTTAAAGGCAGCTCCACCATCTCTTTTATCTGAGCTAGCTGTTTCCTGCAGCCACCAATGTCATCATAGCCTACTTCATTCAAGGACTCTTCCTCATCCTGAATATGGAGGAGACAAAAGAGAAGGCAGGGATATTATTATCAGCAAAAGCAGAGTTTCTTCAAATCCTTCCACAATCTGGTGTGGGAAAATCTGCTGTAATTGAAGATTCTCCTCTAAGAGGACTGTGCCCCAAAGAACAACTCAAAATCCCAAGGCAAAGATTTCTAGCACAGCTTTCCCTCTCACACTATCCTCAGTCTTACTGGGAAGGGCTCACCTAAGACCTGAAGCTAGAATTTCCGGTAAATGGAAATTCCAGCTCCATCATCAGCATCACTTCTTCAAAATATAGTCCAACTACTTAGATCCTTTTGGTTCAAACTAGATTTTTTAAATTACTGGTATCAGATACTTCTAAGAAACACCTAAGCCCAGAAATGAAAAACTGGGAGGTTTCCCACCTCTGCAAGAAGCTTAGTTCCAAAGAGCACCCTGTCTTGATAACCACCACATGACTGTCCCACTGAATATCATATAGTCCAGTATTGGGACCAGAAAGAGGACTCACCTCTCGTTTGATAGGCTCCCCTTCACAGTGGATCACTGTGTCTGGAGCAACAATGCAGTAAGGGCTGGGATCTGTCTCCACTACTTTGAACTCCACAGCACGCATTCCACCCCGGACAAGGAAAATGTCTCCTATGAGAACAATCAGCACGAGGGCCGTTAGAGGTGTGAACTATAAGACTAAGGGAGAATTATTCATCAGAACCTGGAGTCTAGAATTCCAAATTCACTAGATATTGTCCCCACCCTCCATGATTCTGTTAAACATCAGGCAAGAAACGAAAAGCTAGCCTGTGAAGTTTCCTTTTGACTCTCAAGAGGGACAGTGAATAATTTGATGTGCCAGAAGCCCATAAGGTTTTGACTTCTGGGGTTTTACAATACCCACCAATGGTAGAGCTGTGCTAAACATTAAATACTCTGGACTGTAGCAGAGCCAAAATGGCCCAGAGATTTAAGAAAAGATAGGTTACTCTCCTGGAGCAGGGAGTGGGAATGGGGTAACAAGGGAGTGGGAAGGAGGGCAGGGGGAAGGAGAGAATACACATGTATACACACATATGAGACAGATGTTCTAAGGTTGACGAATACTCCCACAAACAGCCATCCTTAAGCTCAGTCTCTAAAATTGTCTCTCACCTTTCCGGATAGGTCGATAAGCTTCCAGGAAGTATGGCTTAAGGTATACCTCAAAGAGATTGCCAGTGATACCTTCCACCGTGTCATCGATGGGTAGCACATGGATGCGTTTGCCATACTTCACATCAGGGCATGGCTGGATGCTGAGGATGACAAGCAGACTCCACATTACCAACCACACTGCAGCCCCAATCACTGGGTGTCCGATAGGGCCTGGCACAGAGAGCTGATGGCGAGCGAAAGAGAAAAGGCAGGGATGGCTTTAGGTGAAGAGAGGCAGGATAGAGTGGGAATGAGGACAAAGGAACAGCCAAGCAGAACTAAGAAAGGTCACACTCAGGAAAGGGTAGAAGTCATTAGCAGGGCTGCCCGCTACCAATCAATGAACTAAAGGAAGACCCACACATCTGGAACCCCTACAAAGACGACAGGAGAGATAGTCTTCAGTGAGAGAGACCCAAGGATGACCCATTCTGGATATTGGTGACCCAATATTGAAAAGGGAAGTCTTAGCCTATTAAGTGCCAGGGTCAGAGAAATAGAAATGAAAAAATAATCTCAAGTCAGGTGGTCAGAACACCTTGAGAAAAGTGACTAAGCCCCTCTATGGAGGAAAGCTACACGAAACCGAGAATCTATAAAAAAAGAATCAGAAGTCTGATATTCATGGCCAGTTAACAGGTGGTTGGGTAGCAGTAGCTAAAGATGACTCCAAGATGAGAAAAGCCTCTTGCCTAAAGTTAAGTCCAAAATCACTCAGACAGCAGCTATCCTGGGTTTAGCTCAAACTATGCTTCTCTCCTATATTAATTTGGATCCTTAAAAAGACCCGCTAGGAGTTCCACTTCCACACCCACTCTCCCACCTCATTTGAGCCCTAACACAAATCATTAACACAGTAGTGAGGTTATTTGGCAGATACACATCCTCAAATGGCATCATAAACCAGGGTCTAAGGTGTGATAAGTTATACGTCTTATAGAAAATAATAAAGAAAAAAAGGCATTAAGAAAGTCATAGAAATGTTTAAAGTCCCAAGAAGGCAAAACCAAAGCCTAAAACCAATTCTGATACATAAGTCTTTCCATGGTTAGGAGGCTTCTGATACCTGCAGCTGCCAAGGCCTTCCTTCATAGGGGTCCTGCCTATAAGGCAGGCTATCTCTGGCCTCCCATCCCTGAGGGGCCAAAAACCCCACACACACCTGATAACATCCCCTAGGCGTACGCGAAGGTTATTCCGAACAACTCTATTCATTCGAATCTTCTCATCAGAACATGTGTCATCAGAAAGCACAATGCACACAGCTTCCCGCCTCTTCTTTCCTTTCAGCAAGACTGTATCACCTCGGAACAACTGCAGCTCATCCATCTTGGGCTGAGGAAACAAGGTTAAGGCCTTTGGGTCACTGGGCCAGGGGGTAAGCAGCAGCCCTGGAGGTTGGGATTCCCAGTAAACCCCATTCTATTTGTGGTCACTGCAAGAAAAATGAGAAAAGAATCCTGGGAAAAACCCTCAGGTTAAGTGAAATAAGGAAAGACCGGACTGTGGACCTAACTTACCTGGGACAAGGACACCACACTGTTGTCCTCATTGATGGCTTCATCGACAATTAACCGATTGGGACGATTCTTTTGTTTAAGAATGGCTGTTGATAAGTCATCACCTTTTGAACTACAAAGATAAAATGAAGTCAGTCCTATACTCCAACCTCGGGGACCCACCAATTTCTAAAACTTACAGTTGAAAAGAAATAGTAGATGAAGTGGAAATTCAGCCAAGGTCATGAAGAGTAATGCCTAGCACATATTACAGTTCCCATTCCAGCAGCTCTTGGATGCTAGTTGCTAGCTATAAAGCCCAAGGATCAAAAAACTATGGGGTGGGCGGGGTGGGGGGAAGGGTAAAAGATCAACCAAAGGACTTGTATGCATGGATATAAGCATAAAGAATGGACACAGACACCAGGGCGATGAGGGCATGTGCTGGGGGGTGGGGGTGGCCGGGGAGAGGCCAATGGGGGTTGGAGAAGAAGACCTATGTAATACTATATGCAACACTTTAAACAATAAAGAAAAAAACAACTATGACCTAAAAAGATGAAATACAAGTGGAGATTAAGTACAATTACAGAAATGAAAACAGTCCTAGGATAGAATAGTGGTTAAGAGGAGAGGCTTGTAGTCAGACCTGCTGGGTCTGAATTCCAACCCTGCCATTACTTAACTTTGATCTTGGCCAAGTTATTTAACCTCTTTGGAAGTTGATTTCCTAATCTGTGAGATGGGGATATAGTATATATACCTCAGGATTATTATCCTAAGTAAGATAATGAATGCAAAATGTTCAACACAATGCCTGGTACATGATATTAATGGTCACTACGATTAATTAGCACTGTAAAACAAAGCACAATACCTTTCTTTGTTAGCCTTTTTTTGGGGGGGGGGGGCGGAGAACATTTATTTATAAAATCACAGAGGTAGAAAAAGTAATTTCTATAAGAAATGGGTTTAGGAAATAAGTTATAGAGGTAAAGGAAGGGCCCTTGGACGCTTGGGAGTGAGGAAGCTAATGGTATCGCTCCTGAGGGCAAAGGGAGAGAGGAAAAGGGAAAGGGAAAGGCAAAGAATGATGTTAGCTAGACAACTTCTCTTAGGACTCAGTGAGGCTCCAAGTACCACCAAGCAAGGCTGGGGACAATGAAGCAAAATTAGAACTACCCTCCTTTACTGGCCAAATCTGCTGAGTGCCAGAGCTTTCTATATACCACAGAAATGTCAAACTTAAATACCATCATATTATAAAAAACACACACACACAGAAACAGGAACAGATCTGGAACATTCAGAAAGAGGGCTAAGCTCAAACAGCAATCTCTGTAGACACACAACTCCATGGAGTTGGTTCAAAAGTCAAAATCACCCAGCTAGAGTGGCTCAGTTGGTTGAATGTCATCCTGTGCACCAAAAGATTGCCTGTTCCGATTCCCAGACAGGGCACATACCTGTGTTGCTGGTTCTATCCCTGGTTGGGGCACCTACAGGAGGCAACTGATCAAAGCTTCTCTCACACTGATGTTTCTCCCTCCCTCTCTCTAAGCATGTCCTCAGGTGAAGATTAAAAAAAAAAAAAAAAAAAAGTCAAAACCAAGAAATGCTGAGACATGGAGCAAATCCAAATCCCTTTCTCCTAAATCAAGGTTGCTTGAGTCTAAACCACGTTAAACTGTCCAGTTTCGCGCTGGTCAGTGATGCTCAGTGGTTAGAGTGTGGTTGACCTGTGCACCAAAAGGTAGGTTCCATTCCCAGTCAAGGGCAGGTACCTGGGTTGCAGGTTCAATCCCTGCCCCCGTTTGGGCACATGCAGGAGGCAAACAAGCCATGTGTCTCTTTCACTTTCACATCAATGTTTCTGTTTCTCTCTCTCCCCCCACTTCTCCCTTCTCTAAAAAAATCAATGGAAAAATACCCTCGGGTGAGGATAAACAAAAAATAATACTGTCCAGTTTCAATTATTTTCTGGACACCAATTTTTTAACTATCTTATCTCCAGCCTTCACTAACTCAATTTGGTGGGCCCTCCCCCTTTGAAGAACTACGTCCTCTCTGTAAGGCTCAAGAAAACATGGGCCTTACTAATAGGGAGACCAGATAATGGAGGAAGTGAAGAAATACATAAAAAAAGAATGTCTTCCATGGATTATTTCTCCATTCAACAAATTAAGGAGTCTATGTATTATATGCCAGGCACTGTTCTGGGATCCAGGGACTTGTCAGTCAACAAAACAAGACAAAATAGTATTCCTATTAGAAATGTCTTCACAACTTGCAAGGAAAGAGATCCCTATGCTCCAGAATACCTGCTGTGGAGTTATGGGGTTTACATATTTTGGTCCTGTATACCCAAGAGAAACACAAATCCCATTCTCTACTATAACTGCAAATTTTCTGCTGATCCTCTTACACAGGTTGCAACTTTAATCATCACCTTTAAACTAGTTTCCAAAGAGTGGAGTTTCCTAGGCTTAAACTTGCCTCCCCAAACCCAAAACTGTGGCACTTTGGGCATAAGCTGTAGAGTAGACAAATTTTCCCAATCCTTATCAACACCCTGGAGGGCAACCATGGTCAATGTGACATCTGAGGGCAATTTAAACCCATCAATTCTCCCTCACACTTCAAAATACCCTCCAAGGGCTGCCCATCTTCCTGCTTAACCTATAGAACTGGTACCGAAAAAAAAAATACTGTTGCCTCTAAACATTGGTTTGTGTTTTAACTCAAGGCTACATTCTAAAAATACCTCCAATCTGCCTACCATTCCAGACCCTGGCATTGGAGATGAGTGGTATACTCTTCCCTTAACAGGGATGGGGAACATCCGGCCTGAGGGCCATAAGGCCCAAGAAATCATTTGGTCTGGCACGGCCAAGGCATCAGGGGTGAGTTAATTAAATGTTTGACCAAATATAGCAGGCTAATCTTTCAGGTGGTTAATTTTGTATGGCCCAGAAATGATATTATAAACATCCAAATAGCTGTTGACAGAAAAATGGTTCCCCACCCATCTTAAGATAAAGATCTTTAATCCCACATCTATCTACTGAGATAAAAGGAAGGAACGTCTAAAAGAGAGAATTCAGCCTGAACATCACCTAACAGCAGTCCTGGAGGCTCTTTGGAGACACCATCTATTGTCTGCTGCATGAGTCAGGCCCTTTCCAGAATCCCAAAGGACCACAACTTGGAGGGAGTTCAGGTTCGAGTCATCGAGAGGATGACCTAGGGATTGGAAACCATCTCTGCTGCCAGGTTCCAATAATTTTGGATTTTTAGTTTTGAAAACAAACGACTGGATAACGTAAATTTTAAGTATTACTAAGTGGACCTTTTAAATAGATAACTGAGTAATACTTCATCTGGATTCAGAAACTCGAAAATAAAGGAACACACCAAAAACAAAAAGTCTTTTGGAATCAGGAAGGTGATTTGCATAGAGGAGTTTCCATAGGATGGCGGTGTCTCCTGCCTTCCCCCCAGTAAGTAAAGCTCTTGATTCTAAATTCAGTGGACAGAGGGGCCAGGCTTTATCTGATGCTATCCTCCGGGTGCAGGGCCCAGGATTTCTCAACACAGCAGATTTGGGGGTGCGGAAACCGTGTGTTTTGGGAGAGTTAGAGCAACTCTAACCTACACACACACCACGACAGGCTGAAATCTAGTAAGGCCTAGAAAAGAACTCACATTCGAACGTTTTGCAATATATAGTAAAGAAAGAAAGAAGTGCCTTTCTCTCCGCGCCTATTTCATGCCATCAAGGGAAACTGGCTCAAGCTTTCTCCGGTGAGCAAGGCCAGAAGCGAAACGCAGGGCCCACTCTCCCCCTCGCTACTCCGGGGCGCAGGATGCTAACCGCAGCCCGGGCGGACTCGGCTCCCAAGTGCCGAGAGCTCCCCTGGGCTCGCCGGGCCCCCCCGCTACGGCCTCCGCCTCCGGCTCCGGCTCCAGCTCCGAAGGCCTTCCCGGGGCCCAAAGTCCACGCCCACCGGGCCCAGTGAGGGCGTTGGGGCCTGCTCTCTCCCGGCACCAAAGGCCTTCCGCGGGTGGTAGGCCGAGTCGCAGGGGGGTCGGGGGCGCTCCAGGCCCCAGGGCTCCGCGCCGGCAGCGTGGGCCCGCACACCTCACTGGGCCCACATGGCCGTTCCAATGGAGACAATCAGGTCGGCCGGGCCTGCATGACACAGCACGATCCGGCCCAGGCCCCGACCCGGGCCCAACGCAAACCCCGCCTAGGGGGCGCACGGGTGCGTAGCGTGGCCCAGCCGGCCCCTCCTTCGCTCCCGTCCTCTCGTCTCCTTCCTTCCATGTCTCCCTCTTTCCCAGTCTCCACCGCTTAGACGCGCCCACGGCCAGGCCCAGCCGGGCCTACCCAGCGCTGAAGGGCCCCCCGGTGCGCGCCCCCGCGGCGAGCGGGCGGGCACGCGCGCACACACTCACTCCGCTCCGGAGGCCATGGCGCCTCGGCTCTCCCGGGCGAGGTGGCGAGCAGCGGCGACAAACCCGCAGGCAGCCTCCCTGTCGCTTCCTCCCAGCGGCACCCGTGCGGTGGGCGGGCAGGAGACGTTGGCTCCTGATCCGCGAGGAGGCAGCGGCAGCGACGACTCGAACGACGGCTACAGACGCTTCACTGAGACTGAGCCGAGAAGAGCCGAATCATCGGAAGAAGAGGTACGCTCATCTCAGCCAATCAGCGCCTGCCCTAGGGTCTCCCGCCCGCCTCTTGGCGCCTCTCCCCAGCAACCCACGGACCAGAGCCAATCAGAAAATTCGCTTTGGCCTGGCTCCCGCCTCAAGTATGCATCGCCACGTCAATTGGCTGCAACGCTACGCTTCCTCGACGGATTGGTATTCTCAACCAATCAACAAAAGGAATGGGACCAGCTCGACTGGCGGAAGGAGTGTTCAATCTCTTAGAGGCGGACTCTCCTACTTGGCTCCAGCTCATTGGCTCCTGAGTTTATCCTGCTGGAAAAACCTGGCACAATGGATTGAACCCTTGTATTAGTCTGGTATTATTGTAGTATTAACCTACACATCTGTCTTCTTCCAAAATGAGGATTCACCCTAACCCCTCTCCTTGCTCCTTCAAAATGCTAATTCAGGCCACCCCTACTCTGGACCCTTTTTAACTAGCACTGCAACTCTCAAACCACTCTATTTTAGTCATTGCACCCTCTGGTTAACGCTAGTCCGGAGGCTTTACAGTTCTTTACACTTTTCCTCTTATCACTGGGTATTAATATTAATGATTTGAGGATGGAGGGCACCCAGTCCAGAGAGAGGTCAAAAGGCTACCAAAGAACACAGCAGATTCAAGAGAGCCCAAAGCAACAAGAAAGTTGCATGCTGAGTTGAAGTCTTTGGGCCCAAAATACCAGCTACCCCTGACTATATTCAACAGGCAGTTTTGGTAGCTCTTAACTTGATTCATCCTTCAGACACATTTGACTGAGGCAGTCTACTCCCAAATTCCTAGAATTTGGGATTAAGGAAGGGGTGGGAAGTCACTCTGAGAGACTCAGGTTTGCTTGTCTCTCCCCTCGAAGAATCAAATACCTGCCCTTGTCATGGAAGGCCTGCCTAGACGACCTTCCAGACCCACCTCCACTCATTCTGTCAGCTCACACAGGATGTTGTGGCTTGGGGCTTTGCTTTTAGGCAATAGAAAGGGCTAAAGTCTGCTTTCTGAGTAAGGATTCCTCTAGCCCTTTCTTCTACCCCAGTCCTCAAGTCATAAGGTAGATGATGTTGGGAGATGGCACCTTAGACAACCAGCACTCAAATGAACCAGACAGCTGTGTATGTAGTATATGTAGTAGGCAGACAAGAGATAGATATGAGATTTTACTCAACACAAGAAAAGGGGAAACGGGGAAAGGTGCTATGAGCAAAGTCAATGCCTTGTTGGAGGGAGAGGTGTCTTTGGAACCAGGTGGCAATAACTAGGCCAACAATTTTTTCAGGCATATCACCAACCTTTCAAAAGCTGTACTTATATAGGAATGGTCATCTCCAAACACATTCCCCAAGGATGGTAAAGCAGAAAGCCCTCCCCACAGAAAGATGGCCCACTGGGGCCCCAGCTCAGATTCTTTTAATCTTGGCAGCTACTAGTCACAAGGCTCCAGCAGAGATGTCCGAAAATCTTCAAGAAGGGTTTCCTGGTCAGGAGGACGAATCCAGCTCAAACAGGTTTCAAGGTACAGGGGGAGAGACCTGGAGAGCAAGAAGGGTGAAGCCTAAGGGTAAAGGATAGGCAGAAGGTTGGGCAGCCCCTCCCTCCCTTTCATTCACCACCACCCACCCCAATAGGCCCAAGGATTCCAGGACACCAACTGCTCCTAGACCCACCCCAGCAGGCCTCAACCTCACCATGTAGCATTCTCCTGTGGCAACTTAGTTCGGGCCTCCAGCCTCCGCCAAAGAGCAGTGGCCTCATCCCTCCGATCCAGCCTCCTTAGAGTCTGAAGCAGGTGAAATGAAGCGTCTCCATTACCTGTAGTCCCACCCCAGAATACAGAGTCTTAGAACTTGACCCAGTCTTAGGCATCATTTTATAAGAGGGGAAACTGAGGCATAAAGCAGGGAACTGTCTTGCCTACAGTCACATACTAAACCAGGAGATTATTCCCAATCATTCCTACCCCTAAGCACTGCCTGCCCAGGATAAAGGGCTCAACTAATTCTGCTCCTGCCCAACACCATCATTGTCTGTGTGTCTGAGGACATTGGGACGACTGGGAACTCTTAGAGGCCTTCATACACACTTGTATATGTCTGGTGTACGTCTGTGTATATCCCTAGTTATATACAGCGCAATCCCATTCACCCCTCCCATCTAGGGGCATCACTCAGTGCCTCCCTCATGAGCTTCTACATCCTTGTGCATCTATGCACAGCTGACGTCATGCAAATACACATACCTGGGCACACCTGCACACTGAGGAGGAAGTCCTGTAGTGCTCTGGTATCCTGGCCACTGGCCACCCATTCTAGTCCACGACTAATCAGGGCAGCTGCCCGAAGCTGTTGTAGTGCCACATCTGACATACACCCCTGTTCACAGTTGGAAGCAGGCCCTGGGGATCCCCAAAGTCAAGAAGTGAGTTATCAGCCACAAAGTTACTAACTAAAACCCAAGTCCCCCTCTATCTCTTGTGTCCGGAGTCTCTTTCTCTTAAATCTCCTGTTGGGCTGGGACACGTGTAAAGGGAACTGATATCCACTACCACCACTTCCAGGAGGGAAGAGGAAAGCTGAGTCTAGATCACCTTGTTCTTTATCCTTAGGTATGTACCGGAAGAGCAGCTCAAGGCACCTGAAGTGGGATACAGAACAGGGGTAAAGAGGAGTCCAGCTCAGAAGCTCTGGGGTGAAGAGGTAAGAATGGAGCTCACCAGTTCAGGTCCCAATCAGAAAATTATCCCTCCATACTTCCCCTAGGGCCCCTGGTTGGCTTCCTGGGCTCACCGGCTAAATTCACTAATTGCTTGCTTTGGGTCCCCTAGTTGCACCCAGGCTTGTCCCTGAAGCAGGTAGGTGGCAGAGACCCAGGGCGGGCAGTGTGGTGACTCCTTGGTTCCTTTTCTGACATCTTTCCACAGCCAGGGCATTTTTGGAAGCAGAGATGATGTACGGCTCAGCAGCTCTTCACATATGGTTAAAGCATCCTGAGCTTGGCCTGCCTGGATCAGTGCTGCTGCCGCCTCCAAGAATATCTCAGGCATACATGGCCCTCGGGGGCAGGGGGGTGGAGAAAACTGGGGTGGGAGAAAGATCCAGTGAGCCACCACCCCCAACATCTGGTACCACATGGAAGCCACCCATTGCTTGCTGCCCTGGATCGCCTGTTCTGGGAAGCCTTCCTGGTCTGCCCCCTTTACCCACTACACTGGACAGACAGAACAGCAGAGGTAAAAACACAAAACAGAAATCCTGCTCTATTCCAAAGGAGACTCCAACTCTATCCCCACCCCAACTGTAGAGAACCTTGAAGATATACTCACCTTTGGCTCCCAGCCATCCAACAACAGGGCCAGTAGGTCCAAATAATGCTCTACAGCATCCTCTGTCCTGAGGAGTCATAACCCATGAGACTTACATTAGATCCTTGCAGGGACCTCCAAAGACTCCTAGCTAAGGGAGGGATGCTCAGGGTCCTGGGGAGTGGGTGGTCTTGTGGCTCCAACCTTGACTCAGTATGGATATACCCTCCTTACGGAATGAATTTGGGAGGACATTTCAGAGTTTTAAAAATACAGGTTAGTACACAGACAATAGAGGGGTGGGGGCATATGCTGGGGGACGGGAGTGGGCAGAGAGAGGTCAATGGGGGGTGGGAGGGGAAGGAGACATATGTAAAACTTTCAATAATAAAGAAAAAAAAAACAACCAGCCTGATTATGTGATCTCCTCCCTAAAATCCCTAAAAAGGGCTTGGGGCTCTTTTTTAACAAAGATCAAACTCCTTGCTAGAAGAGACTTGGTTTCTCTGCTGTTGCATAATAATAATAATAATAATAATAATAATATACGGGTTAGTGTCTGGGAGAAGAGTTCAGGTCCCGTGGCAAGGCAGGATGTTGAGGAGTGGGGACCTAGGTCCTGCCACTGATTCATTCATCCCTCTGACACACAAGAACAGAAACAGAGGTATCAGAAGTGGGAAGAGGAGCTCGTGTGAGCAAGGCAGGACTTCACCTTCCCGTCTGTAGACATCGGCTTGCTAGCAGGTGTTTGACCTGGCTCAGTGTGCCACAGTGAAGGGGTGAGGCTGGGTCAGGTTGTGGGAGTAGCAGCTCTACCTCAATAAGAAAATGGGGGACTTCAGAGCTAGGAGTGACACTCAAGGCCTGAAAGAGACAAAATAAGAAAGTATATCTATAATCTTTCGGAGCCATGCTTCCTTCCACTTATACCTTGACTTATTGCCTCACACGAGCACCCCAGCAAGCCCCATATCTTCAACTGGAATAGTTCCTTACCTCAACCAGAAGCTCCAGACTCTCCAGCTCTGCTGCTGTGTTCCCCAGTTGCTGATACAGCCTAGAGGCCTCCAGAAGCGGGGGACCACAGATTAATCCCCCCTTCAGGGCTGCAATCAAGTAGAGCAGAGCTCTCTGTGGATTGCCCTAGAGGAGAAGACGCAAGCCTCAGCCACCCTCACAAAGAAAAACGCTGTCCATATCACCCATGGTTTCCCCAACCCACCCTAGCACTTTCTTTACCATCTTTCGGAGACAGGTCCCCAACGCTGTGTACACCTGGACCAACACAGGCCGTGGGCATAGACCTGAGGCTGCTTCATGCAGGCTGCTCAGTGCCCTGGGCAGGTTTCCTACGATCAGCTCCTGGAGGCCTGAGAGCAATCAGGGTGTGAGCTTAGAGAGGCCCATAAGACACGAATTAAATAGACTTATATATAGAACATGACAGGAAAGTCATGAGGCTAGAAACCCCTTAAGATGGGGAACGGGGAGGAAGGAATGAGTGAGACTGCTGACCTTGGCGATAGGCAAATGCTGTCAGAAGGACATCCCTCAAGCCTTGGGCATCCTGTAGGGTCAATGGGTCATCTGATTCCTTAGCTGGGGGGCTCCAAGTTTTTAGATGGAGCAGCAGATCCTCAGAGGACCCATTCTGAGAGAGAAGAACCAAAGAGGATCCAAGTCTGTAACTATTTCTTTTTC